TTCATCACCCTTATCCTTCTTTCATCATCCTCATCTTCTGATTGTCACTAACAAGATGACAATTTTCTCTGAAGAGAAAATTGAACCAGAAGCGATGTTCCATTACTGAATTGGTAACAAAAGATATGGTAAACCCAGCCGAGTTCTCCACCATGAATGTAAACTTTGATACAAAGAAGTTTTCTTTCTTTATTTCCTTCCTTCCTTTCTCCTTTTTTGTTAAACAAAGGACAGTATGGCTTATTATACTAAAGTACATAGTATTTTGACTTTCTAAACTTCTATGAATTCATTGGGTTAAACACGGAGCTTCCAGTGAAAGAATAACTTATCTTTAGCAGTCATTTGATAAAACCTGGTGAAATGTTATCAGTGTCTTTCTGAATACTGGAGAACTGAATGAATGCAATACTAGGTTACAAATCCCTTTGCCAGTCAAGTATTTTCCAACTCATTGCCTTAAAAGAAACCGAAAGAGGAACTAATTCAATTGTCAGCTGTGAGATCATTAAGATAATTTTTGGAGCTAGATTACTATGTGATTTTTGGCATATATAGTGGAAGGAATTCAAAGACTTGAGCTTCATTGCCATACAGATATTTTTATTTCCTTCTTCATGCTTATGTGAACAAGGTTTCTCTGAAAAAAGAAATAGAAATAGAATTGATCCTAATCGCTATCAGTTTCTAGCAATAAGTGATATTTTTATTCATGGGATTTAAAAAATGGCATATCCATATAACTAGGAATTATATAGTAAAAGCTGACTTTTTAAGTACTACTCAAATATGCAATGTATTTATGTTGTTTAATCAATTTATATTTGTAATGATAACTCATTTTGAAAGCAAATGTTATTATTGAGAGTTTTATGATCATACACATAACATAAATTTGTTTCATTCTATGTATTTCTCTTGCATATAAATATGATAGAATATCAATGAATGATTTTCAAGCATAAAATATATCCTGATGAGTACATATAATGGCAATACAAGTTCAAGTTAAGAAATAAACAATGATTATTCTTATGACTATTTTTGTGGTCAAATTGAGTTGGAATTCAGGGCCTCTTGTTTGGCTCATGGCTTGTTCTGTATCAGTTGAGCCACACCTCAAGTTGTCATTTTGCTGGTTAACTAGAGAAGGAGAATCAAAGATTTTTCTGCTTAAGCTGACTTCCAATGGAGATCTTCCAGGTCTCAGCCTATTGAGTAACTGGGATTCCAAACAAGACCCACAGATGCCTGGCACATTTTATGACTTTAAAAATATAGCAGGAGCTAGGAACCAGTGGCTTGTGCCTGTAATTTTAGCTACTCAAGTGACCAAGATCTGAGGATCATGGTTTGAAGCCAGTCTAGGCAAGAAAATCTATGGGACATTAATCTCCAATCACACACAAACAACAAACAAACAAAGCCAGAAATGGAGCTGTCACTTAAGAGGTAAAGAGAAAGCCTTGAGCAAAAATGCTAAGGGATAGTGCCCAGGCCTGAGTTCAAGCCTCAGGACAAGCACAGACAAAAAATAAGGAAGAAAGGATGAAAGGAAAGGAAGAAAGGACAAAAGAAAGAAAGGACAAAAGAAAGAAAGAAAGAAAGGAAGGAAGGAAAGAAGGAAGGAAGGAAGGAAGGAAGAGAGGGAGGGAGGAAGGGAGGAAGGGAGGGAAAGAGAGAGAGAGAGAGAAAGAAAGAAAGAAAGAGAGAGAGAGAGAGAGAGGAAAGCAGGGGAGGGGAGGGGAGGGAAGGAAGGCAAGAAGGGAACCTGTGATTCATGCCTGAAATCCTAACTACCTAGGAGAATGACATTTGAGGAACATGGTTTGAAGCCCAGCCTGGGGAGGAAATTCCATGAGATTTTTATCTACAATTAAAGGTCGAAAAGCTGGAAGCTGCTAGGCACGGGTGTCTCCTGCCTATAATCCTCGCTACTCAGGAGGCTGAGATCTGAGGATCATGATTCAAAGCCAACTCTGTCAGGAAAGTCCATGAGACTCTTATAACCACCGGAAAACCAAAAGTGGCATTGTGGCTCAAGTGGTAGAGAGCTCGAGCTGAAGAGCTCAGGAACAGTACCCAAGCCCAAAGTTCAAGCCCCATGACTGACCAAAAAAAAAAAAAAAAATCTGGGGGTAACAATGCTCAATAGGAAGTGTACTCATTACCTTGCTCATGTAACTGTAACCCTCTGTATAGTATCTTTACAATAAAAAAATTTTTAAAAATAAAGAAAATCTGAAGTAGTTTAAGTGATAGAGCTACCAGCCTTGAGGCCCAGAGTTCAGACTTTACTACAGCTCCTCCCCCAAATAAGAAGCAGAAACAGAAGCAGCAGAAGAGAGAGTGGTCATACATTTTGAAAGTAGATAATCATGACTGTTAGACACTGTGAATTATAACTTCCACTGAATATATATTTATAGATTGCACATATTTCAAAGAACTATATGATTTTTTTTCTGATGGTCCTAGGGCTTGAACTCTGGGACTGGGCACTGTTCCTGAGCTCTTTTTGTTCAAGGCTAGCACTCTTTGAGCCACAGAGCCACTTCTGGCTTTTCTGTCTCTCTGGCTCCTGGAATCCAGTTGGAATGTCACTCTTTGAGAGGAACTATTCCAACTGGAACTTTGTCTTTATATAGTTCAGGCATGATGAGGAAAATTTGTACATTGGTCCTAATCAGTCACTTAGAACAGGCAGTGAAAGAATATCTTATAAGTGAAGAACAAAGAGGGCCATTCAGGTTTTAATTTTTATAAGAAAAATGGAAAATCACTCTCAAGTGGAGAAAACACTAAGCAGAAAATAAATGAAGGGCCCCAGAGTGTGGAGGCATGCCTTCTATCAATGACACACCTGAATACCTAAATTATCAGGTCCTAGCAGTGAATACAGTTGGGCTCTCAAAGATAATCTCAGTGATATTACCTATATTAGACTTACCTGGGAATGAAACTGAATTACATCTATAAATACCAGTGTTGAGGGATGCTCATGGTCACCGTGAAAAGGAAATAAGTATGTCACAGGAGCATGAGGTATGGCAGAGGCTCTGCTTCCGGTAAAAAACAAATCAACTCCTGCTTCCTACTTGTGATTTGATATTTGTATGAAGAAACAACAGGGTATTATTGAAACAAGAACTTCAAGGTTCTAGGGCTTGATGTGGCGGGAATGATTCATTTGCCCTCTATGATTTTCATATTATCCATCTGTCATTCACTTCATACTGATAGCATGTTAAAACATTCTTATTTTACCTGTGTAGTTTGAGAACATAGCAAATGGAAAAATAGTAAGTTTGAAAGGAACAATCTTTCCTCACTACCATGTGAAAGCACCTAATTATCAGCACACCCCAACTTCACAGCTACCCATCCCTGCTGAGTGACAGGTGGACTGGCCCACGAAAGACCTTAGTGGCTAAAAGTTAGTATGATTTTCATCCCTCCTGCCAACTTCCTAAAGGCTCTCTCTAGAATGGAGGTGCTTTCTCCTTCCAGGTCAGTCTGTCTTCTCAGTATTCCAAGCCTCTGGACCCATCTTGTTCATGTGAGGTTGGTCTCTGTCATTGCCTGTTCCTAGGTATTCTCCCATCTGCTGGGCATGAGCTCTGTAGCATGTGAAGTGCCAGGTCAGATTTAGTGGGGCCAGACTTTCATATTCTAGTTCTCATCTAGTCCTCTCTTAGGCAGAATGCAGTGTCTCTGTCATTGCATGCACCATGTTGTATGGATGGGAAGTGGGTGAGCACACTGGCCCTCAGAGTGTATTCGCTTTGGTAAAGAATTCTCTTGTCTTAAGTTCTCAGCTCCCAAGGCACATCTGCAAATGTTCTTCCCCACCAGCAGGCATGTTTACTTTTTTAAACATTTTTTATTGTGAAAATACTGTACAGAGGGGTTACAATTACATGGGCAAGGTAATGAATATATTTCTTATCAAGCATTATTGCCTCCTCCTTTGTTTCCTCTTCCCATCCCTTCCCATATCTGTCCCCCTTCCCCCCCCCCCGCCCCGCAAAGTTGTAAAGTTCGTTTTTCAACATAACGACTTATACATCTCATTGTTGCAATGGGTCCACCTGTATCCCTATTTAAACAGTTAGTTTTTGCCCTTCCCTTCCACAAATTATACCAACATCAAATACAATGAAAGCAGGGGTTATACCGTGGGGGAAGGACATACAAAGCAACAAAGAAATCATCTTATAAATATGTTAGAAACAATAGCAAGAAAGAAAAAAGACACTTGAATAGTTATCTTGCAGTTGACAGCCTATAGGTCATTCACTGCAGCAAACATTCCACTTCTATCTGTAGTCTTGCAAGGTTGGGGAGAATGGGTGAGGTAGGTTCATCTCTTTCTTTCTGTGGGACAGAGGGAGGAAGGTATAAAGGAAGGTCACTGAAGATAAACTCTTTCTTCCCTTCCCTGAAGTCAGAGGTGGCAGCTTCCTCAGGAAGTGTTGACTTTCCAAGGAGAATTTTAGCAATCCACACTATGAATTATAGCTTGCAGGCTTTGGGCAGCTTAGGGGTGCAAGGAGATTATCGACACCTGGGAGTTCTGGAGGTAAATAAGTTCACATTTTGATTAACTACACATAAAATATTTGCTTTGTGGATTATCTGTGACCTATTTGAAATCTAGTACTACTTTTTCTTTCCCCTGTGCCTCTGGGCCACTTTTCCCACAAGGTGGTAAATGTGCTGCAGAAATATAAACTAATTTTTATAGATGCCTAGGAGGAAAGCAAATGTGCAGCAAAGATATTCACATAATACGCTCTGGAGTCAAGTCAAAATGATTTTGTGTCATGGGTTCTTCAGGATGTCTCAAGCCTCCTTTACCTTACATTAGGCTATTTCATCAGTATCTGATTATTTAATTTGATTATGCCATCATGTAAATAGGGAGTTTAATCTCTCATCTCTTTCTCTCTCCCTTCCTACCTTCCTCCTTCCCTATCCTTTCCCCACTTCATCCACAGGTGTACCATAGATGACCGGGTTACCAGGGTGGCCTGGCTCAACCGCAGTACAATTCTCTATGCTGGAAATGACAAGTGGTCCATAGACCCTCGTGTCATCATCCTGGTCAACACACCAACCCAGTACAGCATCATGATCCAAAACGTGGATGTGTATGATGAAGGTCCATATACCTGCTCTGTGCAGACTGACAATCACCCCAAGACTTCTCGGGTCCATCTCATAGTGCAAGGTAAGTCACAACTAGACCAGATGTTGAACTTTCATTTAGTAATGGAAAGGAAAAGGGATCTTGGTTTTGCTCTACACAGATATGAAGATACAAAAGGTTCTGTTGCTCAATTGAATCCAGACTGAGAACTAGATAGTTTTTGAAAAGTTTTGTCTCTAGTCCTTCTATGGTGATCAGGAAGTTGCTTGAAGTCTCTTAAGAAACTTAGCTTTCTAAAGCTGGGGTAAGATATATTCCAGCATAGATAAATACAGTACTATTCAGACAGCTCTTGAATGATCATTCTGAGACTTATTTTATAATAAAAGGTTAATGTTGACATGAAATGGTGTAACCTGATTGTTTCCACATAGTTGCTGATCTTGCATGTTGTGGACTAGTCTCTGGGTACTGGCCATTATGCGTTTTGCTTTCATTTGCTCTTAGTCTTACTGTGGAGCCTGGTGTGGAGAGGAATATTCTAACAAATGTATCCAGGTCAATGTTGGAAATAAACTTCTGTCATTAAAAAGGAAGGATCAAAGAATAGCTTAGCATCTTTGCCAATTCTTTTGTTAAATGTGAATCACTATAGTTCAGACATTGCATCACATGTGCTTTTTACAACAGTTTACTTTGTAGCTGAAAAAATGGGATAGAAGTGTCATAAGCTCCAATATTAACTACTAGGAAACACAATTGCAGACATTGGTTCTAAGGATTTGTGAACTACGTTGACAAGCAACAGTCCAAAATGAACTGCTTTTGAACTGATTCAACTGCCATGGTTGTGTAAAGAACTTTTCTGTCACGTATGGTCTCAGAGTGGGAATGAGCTTCTGAGAGATGAATTCCATCACTCAGTGTTCCTCCACAAAGTGAGAGACTAAGAGTGTCTTTTCTTCTAGTGTCTGGCTGACATCTTAGGGACACACACTGAGCTCTTGGAAAGGGTCTTCTTGAGTCCTTTAGTCTGTAGCAAGTTCCTTATATCTGATCTCATTTGTCATGGAATCAACAGATTTTGAGCACTCTAGATTGTGAAATGTGTATGGTATCCATGCTTAGCTAAGAGATTTCCACAGATCTGCTTTTTTTTTTTTTTTTTTTAAAAAGACAGTGTTATTCATTTCAGTTGGTATCTAGAAATGGTTGGCTGATTAAGGAAACACATCTGTTTCTGCTCAGCCACGTGCACCATTCCGAACACTATTCTTTCATTTGGCTAGAACAGCTCCTGAGTGTGTGCGTTGGTAGGTCCTCCTCTGTAGGCTATTTACGATGCATATTGGGCTGGGGATCTGTCTGCTGCAACTTCTGTCTTCCAGCAGACCCAGAGACAGCCGCACTGCTGAATATTGGCTTCCATCTGTCCTTGAGGTCCTCTCATGTCTCCATGCTTTCAGACATTACAGAAGCCTGCCATATGACAGGCATCTCTAGATGCTACTGCTTCCCATTCTCCATATGTGTACCACCCAGGGTATGGCTGGTTGATGATCACAGCTCGAGGGCCACAAGACTGGCTGCCATCTGGACACAAAGGCAACTGGCACATCCAACACTTTTCCTCAGAAGATGATGGGGGCACTGGGTGAGCTCAGTCATCAACAATGGGCTGGGACATCTGCTGAAAGTTTCTGGGGATGCCGAAAACAAGGACCTGTGAGCTCTTACCACCCACCTGCCACCTGGGTTCGACTCCAGAAGAGCAGAAATTCTCCACATTGGAAATGACACTTCAGTGGCACTTCCATGGCCTTGACAACAAAGTTGTCTTCTCATTCAGGAAATACAGCACTGAAATAAAATATAACTGTCAGGCATTGTACAGAAAACAGACAGAAACAGAGAAAGGCTATGTTTCCCAAGGAAGAGGACAGAGAGTGTGAGCATGTCAAAGTCACTACAGGCTATAAAGCACTTGGTGAGGGCTCTGAGGATAATGTTGTTCACAGAATGCCAGGGTAATTCCTTGGGGCCTTGTAGTTCCTGGGAGCCTTCTAACCTTGGTTACTAAAGTCTGAGGATGGGAAAGACAGAGACAAGAGCTTCACCTACCCTATAAGCTACCTGCTCAGGCTCTAGATTTCAGAGCCTGCTCTTTATGGCTCTGGCTACCCATCTAAATGGCCTGGGAAATCCAAATGCAAACCATCAGGTGGAAGGAGGAAGAGAAGGAGAACAAAGAGGTGTTGCTAGAACTGTAGGCAGGTTAACTTTTCCATTGAGAAGAAGCTCAAGTTTCTGTGGTCTATCTTGTCTTTATTAGCAATGCAACACCAAAACCAGTAGAATTATGAGGGAATGGATGTGGAGACCCCACTGTTCAATGAGAAAGAAGCCCAAGAGTCCTTTTTCCCAGCAACTATCGGCTTTTGTCCAGCCTATAGATTAATTTTTTAGCCTTAGTGTTATTTCAGGTTAGATAAAGATAATGAAAGTTTCCTAATCCTCTTAAAGAAGATTTATCTGACTGAGTAGAAAGCTTTTGGAATACAATAAGGCATGTATAAAACTGAGGCCTAATCTTGCCCTTAATTTCAAACTGCTGATGGGTATTGATTTTCCAATGAGAAAAAGTAAAAAATTTCCGAGCTGCAACTTGTCCATTAAAAAAAATTGTGTTTATTTATCTTCTGCCCATTTGAGAATGTTAATGTCTTACGATTTCTGCCAACCAGGTGCCATTCTCAAAAGAGGCCATTCTCACCAGGCTATTAGCTTTGGTGTGGTTTGTTGTTGTTGTTGTTTTTTACCCCCTGCAAAGACAGGAAGTAAAAGATGTTCTGTCAATCACCTCAATGTTGATCTTTTACTCTTTCATGAGGTTGCCTTTGCCACATGTCAGAGGAGATTTATTTCCAAGTCCATCTCTTTGCAAGAAGAAACTGCCTTTATGCAAATCCAATTACTGATCCCTAAGGCACATCTTGGTCACTAGGAGTTCATTATGAGCTGCCATGTGAACATATGTGATATTGTGATCTAGACTTTATACCACTAGGAGTTAAGGGAAACCAAAGTTGGGGGAATAGCCTCTGTGGGTCAGAATCAACAGGGCAAGAAAACCTGCCTGGTGTTATACAGGGATTTGCTTCTGAGATAAGGAGAAGCCTCATTTTGAGGGGTCAAATTGAGAGTCTTTATTAGAAAGTGGGAAGCCAGAGACTGCTGGGGAACTCTTGTCCCAAAGACTTGCAGCCCAGAAAGTAGCTTGTACAAAGCTTTTACAAGCTTTGGGATGGGTCCCAAACCCAACAAAAGCAAACCATATAGGGGGGAAATCAGGGGTGAACAAAGCAAGCCATCTAGAGGAATAATCAGGGGCAAGCATTCTCTATAGCAAAACTTTCCTGGAGCTAAATACCATGATACATCTGCATATTCCCTGAAGCAGAACTTTCCTCGGGCTAAACCACATTACACAGCTCCCCTCTAGGCTTTTCAGAGCTGGATGAAAAGCCCACACCACCCAGCAAGACACCAGGATGGCAGTGAAGACAAGACATTGTTACTTAGACCCAGTATCCTTATTTCACTGGCAGTTCTATCAAGGATGCGCTGGAGTGAAGGGAAAGTAGGGAAATGAGGCTAAAGCTTGCTTCCATCATCCAGGGAGAGAGACATGTGCTGTAGATGTATATGCAGAATGGACAAGTGCCTAAGAGATTCTTTCCAAAGGAAATGGACAGCATGAATCCCAGTGCCTTGAAAGAGAAAGACTTACATGATGCTACTTGTTTTTTTGAGTTGGGAGACGTAATGGTGGCCTCCACAGTGACTGAAGATGCAAGGTGCTGTGCCACTTAGAAGCAAAGAGCTTTCAACTCACAAGTCTGAGGATAAAGAAAACAACCACATTATATAGACACTATAGACAAAGAAAAGGGGAAAACAGAAAGGGTAAGTCTGAAATTCGGAATGAACTTACTAGCTGAAAAATAGGAAAGTTTCTGATCTTAACCTTTCCTATAGAACATCATGAACCATATTGGATTTACTGAGGTCTTAAGCAGTCGAAACACGAGGCACCGCAGGCACTCAGAAAAAAAAAAGAAAATTGTTTGTAAGATAATCAGAAGAACAGACTGAACTGGCATATGAACACAGTGTCATCAAGACTCTCTAACAAGCACTACACAGGGAATAAGTTGCAGTTTGGCCCTATGAACGGCTTGGACAGTAATAGAAGATCCCTGCAAAGGAAAGAAGTGAATATGACAAGCTAAGAGATGTGTTTTAACAGAGATAACATTATGATCATGAATTTATCTATTACTTTGTAGCCATAGTTACAATCTTTGTCTCATTTGACTCTTACAACAAGCCCTGGGGTTATCAGTGAATGATGTTATATCACTTGCAAGGTGGATACCAACAGCTCTCAAGAGTCATGGTGGCCTGCCAGTGTCCCCAGTGGATGAAGAACAGAAGAATCTCAACCTACAGCTAATGGACATCAAGATTAATATCTCTTCAGTGTGCTCCAATGCCTCTTTAACCACATTGTATGAACTAACCACCTCTAGTTATGTTTTTGCCCCAGGTCAATGGGAAAATTTTAAGGTTTTGTAGATTACTCAATTATGTTTTTGTTTTTATTTCCCTGTATTTGGCAATGCACTGTATTAACAGACATTACATTAAAAAAATTCCAAGAAAGAAAGAAAGTCATGAGTATGGGCCTTTAAATCTACTATAAATGGTACAGAGAGGCTGAGAGAGAGGCAGAGAAGGAGGTAATTAATTTTCTAGTAGCTCCTTCCTCCAGGGAAGTGCATTTTAAATGTTACCACTTTATCCCATGTAAGCACTGAAAATCCTGGCCCCTCTGAGGGTCTAGGATGTAACTGTTGTTCTAATTGACAGTAATTCTTCAGCATTCTGAAGCAACAAAGAGCCCAATGCATCCCTTGGTGTTAGTGGTTTTGTTGCTAGGGATGTATACACAGGAAGATGTGGTCTACCTTTACTTCTGTAAAAATTTTATTTATTTATTTATTGTTTACACTGGTACT